AGTAGTAGCAGTAGCAGTAGCAGTAGGAGTAGCAGTAGTAGTAGGAGTAGTAGTAGTCGTAGTAGTAGTAGCAGCAGTAGTAGTAGCAGCAGTAGTAGTAGTAGTAGTACTTACCACTGCTTGTGCCAGTAAACCACCAGCACTCGCACTAGCACTTGTAGGAGCAACTGCCGCAATGATAACGACGACGTCGTGACAGAAAGACTACTACCACTACTACTGCTGCTGCTGCTGCTTCTGCTGCTGCCGCTGCTACTGAGCGTTGCTCCTACTGCTATGTTGATTAGTCCAGCTCCCGACGTTGCTACTGGCATGGTCATACCTTTGCTTTGTTGATCGTGCGACTCCTGTTGATTTTTGTCGTTGTAGGTTGCCGTTGCTGTTGCTGTTGCTTTTGCTGTTGCTGTTGATGATGTTGTTGTTGTTGCCGATGATGACTGTTGTTGTTGGCTGTTGCTACGTTTGTTGCTTGTTGTTGTCGTCGTGGTTGTGGTTGCGGATGTGGGTGTGGCTGGTGTTGGTTGTTGCCGTCGTTGCCATTGCTGCTGTTGTGGGTCTTTGGCCGTTACTGTTGCTATCGCTTGTTGCTGTTGCTGCTGTTTTTGCAGTTTGAAGCGGTGGTGGTGCTGTTGTTGCTGTTTGTGGAAGTGGTGGTGGTCCTTGTGATGGTGGCTGTGGTGCTGGTGCTGGTGTTCCTGGTGGTGGTGTTCGTGGTTGTTTGCTTGTTCGTTGCTTGCTGTTTTGTCGCTGGGATTGTTGCTTGCTGGGCGTGAGCTGTCGTTCTTGTTGCGTCAGTGTGGCCACGGTTGACACTACCACCGTTCGTCACATCCTTCTTGCTGGTTTACAGGTCACATTTTAAAAGCATAGCTGCCCAACCCGGGACACATCCCCTCCAATGCCGGATCGATCAATCGAAACCTGCAGAACATGATGCCGCTCGCCTGCAGGCTGTGAGGCAGGTGACAAAAGCAGCACCTAAGCTGGGACGGCTCCATCCGGCAAGTGGTTAAGGGGTCTGGCTTAGATCGGAAGGGGTGCAAGTTGGACGTCCAGCAGTTGTCTTACTCATAAGATCCCTGTGCTGATTAATACTACCAACAGTTAAGACCTTGTCATGCCTTGCACCTGACATGGTCCTGCTCTCATACCTTGACGCCTCTCATCCGCCAAACACACACCCTGCCACCGTACGTCATCGCGTCGTCATCGTCATCATCACCATGATGACGGTTCTGCCATTACGACATTTGACGACATTTCGTTGAGCATGTCTAGAGATTGCAGACATGCGCCTTGCGAGGCATGCTATGTCGCCATTTGTGCCTCCCTGCTTTCAAAACAACAGAGTATATACTAGTTACGAGTAATGTAGACGCACACATCTCCAAATGCATATCTACACTATGTATGCATGCATGCCATACAAGTACGGCTGTTGCTGTTTTCTCTGAGAACCCATCAACGCCAATGCCCACATGTTACGTGCCAGCAGCCACATGTGCGTGGCGTTGTGTTGTCTTGAGGACAACACCCACAACGGCCGAATGGTTACATATCTTGTTCGAACCGTTTGTTGACGCATCCAGCGACGGCTGCTCGAGTTAAGCCTAACAAGAAGCTTTCGATCAGACCAAACTTCAAATCCCGCTGCCTACTGAAGGGTGAAGAGTGCATACCAATGCATGTCGACTCGTACTTGTATGTACATACCCCAGTCACATACAAAACGTGCACATACAGATACATCGAGAGATAGATGATTGCCTTTGGAACCGCCTAAACCACGAGAACCTGTCCGTACTTGCATCCAAACATCTACACTTGCATGCCTAAACTCAGAAGTGCCGAACACCAAAGCCCTTACCCTTAGGCACTCAAGCCGCGGAATCCTCAATCCAAGCTGCCGGTTACCAGATGAGCAGCGTGACTTTGCCACGAAAAAGACCTGGGAGATCGCGGCGATCACGAGGTGTCAGAGAGGAGTCTGAGCATCCCCTCAACTCAACAACCACACAAGCGCGCAAACCGCTGGAAGTGGTCTTAACCTGTTTGGTTCGGGGTTCGGGGTGTTTGGACCAGTCTGCTTGGGCTTGAGTTCTCATCAGCGTGGTAACCAAAGTCAATCTCCGAGGCTCGCCAACATATCCTAGTAGAGCAATCGAGGACCAAGGTTCCGTGAGGGAAGCACACCACAGATGTTTACAGTGATTCTGCCTCTAAAATATATTAAAGTGTAGTCTAAGTTGTGATGAGCCAACCCCAATTCAATTCTGAAACATGGTCTGCATCACGGCTACAAAATGCTACAACAAATCGGGGGAGATACCAATCCCCCACATCTTAGCAGAGTTGAATGTAGGGATCGGAGCTTAAGGTCGACTTCCGTCCTCGGGGTTAGCCGGACTTGCAAAGTCTAAGGGTTTGCCGTGCAAAAACAAAACATCGCAGAATTTCCAGCGTTCCTTCTCAAGCCGTCCATGGAAACGCTCTGTGCTTCGCGTTGAAACTCTTGAACTAGCACCGTCAAATGCTTCAAAGGACAGTCGATCTCCAGATCCAAACACGCGAAACAAAAGAAACAAATACGCGCACACAAACACACAGCTGACACCGCACAGTCTCGCAACGGCTCACATCAGCACTCGTAGTACAGCTGTGGCACACATGGGGAACACCCCGTTGGATGATTTACCTGAGCAGGGAGTCTATCGAAGGTTTCGTACTCACCGTCTGGGCATCGCTTTGTGAAGGCACGAGAGTTGAGATTGTCGAGTTTCGGCTTTGCACTGACCTCCGACGGGCCGCAAACGGACGCGATTTTGCCAACACGTACTGCGATCTCTATCAAAACCATCAGGTGCAGTGATGATCGTGGTAACGGCAGCAAGAACAAAAAGCAGTATTTATGGGTGGCAACTGTCATCACTGTTGTCATTGGCCCATTCTGAGTATAGACTTTCGGCTTGCTCCCAAAGGGTTTTAAGATGTGCTTCAACGTCCGAAAAGCCCGGAAAGGAGGTTGTGGCATGCTTTGTGCTGCAGACATGGGTTGCTCTCGGCTGGACCATCTGCAATTCAGAGAAACGTGGGCGTAGCAGTGCGACTCTCGGGAGAAAGGAGCGATGGATCAGCTACGACTGGAGCCATCATCATCGGACTCATTGGACACGCCTGTTGAACAAATCCACCGAAAGCCTTCGTACTAGCCGAATACAGGTAATCAGCTTCAATAGTATTCATGCCTTGGGCCTAGGCCGCCCAGGTCTTTGCCAGGGCACACTTCCAATCGAAATCAAGTCCGCCTCTGTTCCAGGGGCCTTTGCAGTTCAGCTATCATCTGTCGTCTAGCAAACTACACGAGTGCTTCACCTTTGTAGCAGGCGAGGGATGCGATGATGCTTCGGTACCAAAAGTCTGACTCCCACGTGTCGAAAGCCCCCATCCAAAAGGTCGCGTTGGCCTGTATGGCACTGTATGGTGTCGGGAAACGATTTTGTACTTGCTGTCTCTCATGTTAAGGTTTTATTGGGCTCATAATGTGAACATACGGCCTCCGAAACCTTGTGCCTTAAGCAATCAGGAATCAGGACCCTAAACGGTCAGACGTATGGTGAACATCGGAAAAACCTGCTGCTGCAACACAAGCTGAACACTGTTTGTAAAAAACAAAACACATTGCGTCCGGAAAGGGTCCGCAAGTGCTCAGAGTCGGCTTCGGTTGTGACCCCGGAATCCACGCTTCAAGGCCGCGGACCGTGACCCCCCATCCTTCAGGCCCGGCATCCTACCCAAAACATCGATAAATCCATACAAATCGAGAACGCCCATACCTAAATCCTCAAACGACTTAAAGGCGGCCGAGACTGGCATCTCCGCCTCGCCGGAAGATGCAGCTTGATTGCCACCTGGCACAGAAAGCGCTTCCGAACCTTTGGCTTCGGTTTCCATCTTATTCAATCTCGAAGGGCCGCACAGAGCATGTGATCAAGGCATGCGCGGATCCAAATCTACAAAGCCGCTTTGAGTCCTGGGGCCCTAATGGCCCTAAATAAGTCCGAGACTTTAAACGGCTTGATGAGTTTTGAGAGTTCTGGGGTTGCGGCTTAGAGCGTAAGATTGGGTTTTTTCAGGGCCATGGACTTTAGGCCTGATTCGATCATCCCGGCGCCTCGCAAAATATGCCCAGGCTCACACTGCTCCGATGCCTGTATGTCAGACTTAATGCTTCGAGGCATCCTTGCGATTTGCATCTAGGAGGCATTTTTGAGGCTTGAGGTCTACCCCTGCGCATGTGAACAGGGTTTATAATATGATATTCGGTAGCTTTCTCCGAGGCCGAAGGCTCTATTTTGTTCTCGATTTTCAAGACTTAGCGGGTGCCCTTGTGAACCTGACAGCCTACCGTCCCTGCACAGTGCAACACTCCAATGTCTTTCTTGGTTTCAGAAGCCCAAGTGCCCAGCTCCAACAGTTCTTCCGGAGATCACGGAATCCTGTAGCCTAAGCATGGCCATCTAGCATGGGAGCAAAGAAATCCCTGGTGGCCCCAGTCCCAAGCCTGGATAGTCGGTTCGATCATTCCGCGGCGACAGATCCTCAGTGGCTTGAAAACGGATCGGGACATGAAGACTATGGGGCTTGCGACTGAACACGAGGCAGTGTCCGCTTCTTTGGCATGTTGGGGCTTACAGCAAGAGCTGTGAAGGATTTGGTGTTGTAGCTGCTCGGCGAACGAGGCTGCTTTTCGCAGCTCCGGTTTCGTCTTCGGGTTGCTGGGGGTGGTGTTAAGGGAGTCCACTTCTTTGCAGATCATGCATTAGCGGTATCGCAGTAGCTCTGGCCTCCCTAGTTTTAGGACACTTTTAGGGTGTGGACAATCGCTTCGTGGGGATCACACCCTCGCCGCGGCTCTATCGGCTTGAACACGTGCACAGCTGTGCCTAGTTTGTGATGCCATGTCGGCACTGTGTGCAATATGTGCGCAGCAGATGCTTCGAACCGTGTGGCAATCTAAAACGTCTTCAACACCGTCCTTCTTTCAATGCATTGGCCCCAGCCGCAATGTGACAAAAAGCATGCTGCTAAGATCACAACCTTCGTTCAAAGAGAGCTTGTCACACCGATAGGGCAGTGCAGGTGAGCAAACTAGTTGCAAGCTGAAATAGGTCATCGATTGGAAGGGATTTGCGGCTATTGCACGCCATTCCTGGCTCGCTTCCATCACGCCCGGACGCGATCAACCCAGATTTTCGATTGGCAAAGGTGTGGGGTCGACTGATGCATGGTGGCATATCTCCTTCATGCGAGAAATTCTTGAAACAGGAACATGCCAAGCCCGCCAGCAATGTCTAACACGGAAGCTTGTCACTCGCAAGCCTTTCGGTGCATGTATGTTTCTATGTATAACATCACCCAAGACCTTTTGTCGGATCTTTGCGTAACTTTAACTTGGATCATGAATCCTCATATCTGAATACCCCTTCAGAAAATACTCTCAACCCCCCCACTTCCCGCCACCACAGCATCTACACAGTCGAGCAAACCCTTTCTGCTAGGCGCGGCTGGGCTTTCGGAGCTCGCGCTGCTATCCTTTGAGGCATCGCTCCCGAAATTTCCTCCAAAGCCAGGGGCAGAAGCTGAGGCTGTGAATCGAAGGATTCGCGAGGGTGTTTGATTTTCGAAACCAGGAAGTGCTGGCTGCAGAGTCAAAGACCCAAGACTGATGCCTCCTTTGCCTCGGATGGTTGCTTTGATCATAGTGAACCTCAGAAGACGGGCTCCTGAAAGCGAGTCCTTGGACCAAAAGAAGCACCGAAACTCTTGGATTCACTGCAACCAAACTACAGGCCTGTTACTGGCCGGCCTGACAGAAAACTTGTGTTACTTTCGGGGTCGTCGGATTCAAGGGTGCTATCCCGGGACGTGTGCCATGTTGCGGGCCATGAGCTGCGATGCTCATCCGCCAAAGGAACTTTGTATATGTGTACCTACATCTATATGTGAATACACACATATCAATTTCCATCTCCTCCCTCTGTATATATATATATATAATAAATAATATGTCTATGCATATATCATTTTCTGGTAAGGTTCCTACTGCCCCGAGCCCGACATCAACACAGCATTCCACTACACATTCCCATGTGCTATGTGCTGAGGTGCCACGAAGACTGCAGCCCTGCCTGGTAGGAAAGGCGGTCTCCAAAAGTTCCTGTGGCTGTCCTTATGGAGCAAGGAGCTAAACTGGGACCCACTGCTTGCTGGGCAGCTTAGCAAGAACATCCTAGAGAATGGCTCCCGTCATCGTGACTGGCGGAGGATCCTGCATTTTTGAAGGTCTTGGAATGTCTTCATTCATACCATGTGACTACTACCTTCTGCAGCCCCTACTGCTATCACTAGAAATGTCATGCTATCACTAGAACGTCACTATCACTATCACTATCACTAGCCCTATCATTACGACTACTACTACTGCTACTACTACTACTACTACTACTACCACTACCACTACCACTACCACTACGACTAAGACGACTACTGCTACTGCTACTACTACTACTACTACTACTACTACTACTAACAACAACAACAACAACCAACCAACCAACCAACCAACCAACCAACCAACCAACCAACCAACCAACCAACCAACCAACCAACCAACCAACCAACCAACCAACCAACCAACCAACCAACCAACCAACCAACCAACCAACCAACCA